GATGTTGGCGTTTCCGTGCCGGTGCTGTTGTTTGAAGAGTTTTCGGAGGTTGAAGACATGGTGGAAGAGAAAAAGGAATTTGTTTGGAGCGGAAGAGAGAAAAAAATGGATCAAAACCAGTCTGATACCATATAAGAAAATGTTTTTCCCTCCTTTTTATTGATCATGAACATGTATTATATACAAGAATTACAATCTGCATAATAGGAAACTAATTATGCCTAATCAATGTAAATATTCTTTGACTTTATATCTCATTAGTGTACAATATTTGTTCCAAATATAGATATGTTCTGTCAGTAATCACAATCCCATAATATTAGGATGAAATTAAAATAGAATGAGCCTAGGATCCTATCAAATATTAAATACTATCAATATTATCCTTTATTCTTAAATGACTGTTCAATCATCCATTGAAGCACTAATGGTATGAAAAATTGTTTCAATTAATTTTTTTATTAAAATTAAAATTAATTAAAGGCCTTTTTTAGGTTAATATCAGTAAATGAAGAAAATAGTCCACTTTTACTTATATTTTGTTGCAAGTAAATGAGCCAAAGTTTCCTTTTAACTTGTTACAGAGGGAGTATTTGTGATTGTATATTGGCTCTGGATCGTACATCCTTTCCATTTGTGCATTTTCTTTTCTTCTTAATTATCCGCTAGATTATTTATGAAATAAGTGACTCACGTCTATCAATTTGTTTCCCTGGTAAAAGATTGGCTTATCATGTTGTCAAAGACGTGGCTATACTGAGGTTTATGGTTGAAGTGTGTTGGGGTCCTATGCTGGCTGCATTCAGTGTAACGCTTGACCAGAGTGATGACAGCGTAGCTACTTCTCAATCCTTACAGGGATTTCGACATGTTGTGCATTATGACTGCTGTGATGGGCATGCAGACTCAAAGGGATGCTTTTGTTACATCTGTTGCCAAATTTACTTATATGCATTGTGCGGAAATATTGAACCAAGACAAAGAGGAAATACATACCAAAGATGGAAATACATACTAAGAGTTCTTAAGTCATATTTGCACTAACCATATTTGCTTACACTCAAATACAAAGAGGAAATATTTGCTTAACAACGTCAATGAAAAATTTTAGAATGATCATTTATTAAAGAAAATGTTTAGAGAGACTAAACTTGAAAACCACTATATTTATGGGGAACCAAAAACATATTTAACCTAATAATTTTAATAATAGAAAGTAATTTTTTTTAATAAATTTTAAAAAATAATCAAGATTTATTTTTTAAATAAAAAAATATAGATAATTGTTAAAATCATACTATTTTATAATATATTTTATCTATTTAATAAATGTTTTAAAACTCGAACCGATTATTGAACTGATTATTGACTCGGTCAAATTATTGGGTCGGACGGTATAAATTCTAATAATATGAAAATATGATTTTATTCTTATTTTGTAACATTATTTTTTTTATTTTTTGTTAATTTCAAATATTATTATATGATATAATAAATTTTCTAACATTTTTAATTTATTTTATTATTATATTATATGATAATAGTAAATAAATTTAATGAGAATCGTAATATTGTAATTATAAAATATATACTTTTCTTATCGTGTAATTGATAAAATTACAATCCTAATAATTTTGAAAGATTACATATTTGATTTTTAAAATTTGATAAAATTTTATTTTTATAATTTAATATTATTTAGTTATTATAAATAATTAACATAATTATAAATATTTAAAAAATTGAATTTTAAAACATAAGCACCAAAACTTAAGAAAATGAAAATATGATCAAAATTATAATTAAGCTAAAACAATAAACAATAAACAATAAACTGGGCCCAATTTACCAAACAGACACAGACCATAGATGCAATTGTTAAATCTAATTCCGACTGATTTGTACTTCAATTTAGTCGGTTTGATCGGTTAATTGATCATAAATTTTATTTTAAAAACTTGACAGTATATAAAGGAAAGACTGCAGTCATTAGCCTTCAATAATGTTCAACACCAGTTATAAACAGCTTGCAATTCATCCTTATATATAAATAGATTACTACACAAAACCTTAAATATTATAGACATCCAATATTATGACAATTTGGTTATTTGACTATGACAGTTTGGTTATTTGACTGGTTCAACTGTAGTTTCTAATAGTTTAAATAGTTTAAAGAGACACAAATATGATTAAAAGGTCTCTTAGATTTATTGTGTAATTCTGCTTTTAAAATATTACTTGAAACAACAAATCCTTAGTTTGAAAATAGATTTTGAATGTAAAACACAGATAAAAAATGTCAAAATCTTCCAGCTCTATGTTCTCAGAATAAGCAAAAATGAACTCTTCTATAAGCACGATGGTACCACAATTGCTAGAGGATAAACTAAGTTCTTAACATACAACAAGAGATAATTTATTTGTTGCTATTACCATCTGTCCATTCATTCCTCCAGTCTTTGTCGATATTTACATAGGATTTCATACAAATGAAGGGCATGGGATTTCAATATTTTGCTATCATAGATCACTTATAAATCTCAATGTCAAATGATCTACTAATTTAAACAGAATTTCAAATTAAACAGAATTTATCTACACAGAATGTATCTACACATAATTTATATACACAGAATTTTCAACAAGTGCAATGAGCATAAAATATAGAAGACTCGTACAATAAAAACTCAACACAACTCATTTTACTGACATAAACAGAATTACAGTATGGATAATTAGCAACTATCATTTGATTCAAAATTTTAGGTTAATTATTACCAACGATTCCAAGGTTTGTACTAGCTCCAATTGCAGCATCAATGTTCTGGAATCATCCAACATCAGTTCCTTTAATGTTCCATAATTATTTAAAAAATCTATAGAACATCAACCACAACATTAACACACAAAAATTTAATAAAAAAGAAATCAAAAATTATGCTTCAAATGCATGTTTATTACTTAATATCAAAACTATAAAACTCATAGAAATCCTAACCCACAGAAAAGGGTAGAAATCACAAAGAATGATGCAAATTTGAAGTGTCCAAAGATAGAAATTGTTCTGGACTTGGTCTGTATTTGGCCCAACCATTATACTAGGGCCAATCTAACTATGCTTCATGAGAAGGTCAACAGGAGACTTCGTCCCACGGGAATAACCCCATGACTGGCAAAGAAGGCCGATGATGCTCAGGAGTTCCTCGCGTGCATCGTCCACTCCTATCGTCGGTCAACAAGTGTATGCCCTCCGGGGGCAACCTCACTACTGGCGAGAAAGACCTACGACCACTCCATTTTGGATCTCCTTGCTCAGTCAATTAATGGGGACTTTGACCCTGTGGTGGAGGCTATAAATATCCTCTCACTTGAGAGGATCAGGTATTCAATCTCTCATTCTTACTCTCATACTTTCTTGCATTAACTCTGAACTTCACTTTGACATCCACTTCACATTTAATCGTTCTTTGGCTCAATTTGTAGACTTTGACAATCCCTTTTGATCAATACAATCAGAAATCAAGTATAATAGTGAGCGAAAACAACTTTCAAAGAGGATGGAACGAATTTAAATTATGATTACCTTTGATTTCATTATGAAATTTTTCTAGGATTTAAACGTTATAGTAAGTGTGTGAGAGAGACGAAAATGATCGTGAAGCCTTCCACGGTTTTTATTTTGCAGCCAAAAAGAATTATTTCCGACGAGTAAAGAGAATGAATTGAAAAACAAGCTACGACGAGTAAAGGAAAAATATGAAAACATGGAAGAAGAGGGTGGCGGCTGATAACATATGTTTTCTTTTAACCCTAGTGAGTAATAATTATATAAACAAATATGAAGTTTGATCGGTCGGGTTCGGATTTCGATGGCCCCAAAATTGATATCTAAGTTCTACCTTTCAGTTCACACTCCAACCAACTGAAATAGTCGAGATTTTATATTTAAATTAATAATTATTAATTTTTCCCTAATAAATTTTTAAAGTGGTTCTTTTAAACATTCAAAATTTGAAAATTATATCAAATTTTAATTTCTTCAAAAATTTCTTATTAACTCTAGCTTTTTTTGTCAAGATTCCTAAAAATTTATTGTTTCTTTGGAATTTATAATAAAAAAATTTAATACATTTTTCAATATTCTCTCTTAAATAATAAACATATATAGTAAATGACATGCTTAGACTTGTCAAATAATTCTATATTTTAACCAGCTTCCTCCATTCATAATTTTTATTCAGCGGACTATATCAAAAACCTCAATGAATTGGAAAATGAAATACTTACCAACTTCTCAAAATTCAATATTTTAAGGAAGTTGGTCAAAAAATTCAATATTTTAACCAGCTTCCCTTATTTTTCATAATATATTAAGTGAAAGATTCTCAATGATGTTATTTTTTCCTTTATAAAGTTGATCTACTTTTTGTTTTCTATTATAAAATGTGATCATGCTTTACACTCTGTTTTAAAGTAGGAAAAAGCATGGTGACATGGGCAACAGATGCAACTTGATTCGATGACAGATTAGCCACCAAAATCCACAATCTAATTAATTTATAAAATGCTTACCGTAACTTGAGCATGGGCCAATTTAGAGCCTTTGGGGCTCTATTGGCCCATTCGACCGTACAAGCTTCAGAAAGTGCTTGCCATTAATAGAACAAGGGGGGTATCTTTCTTGTATATAAGAATATGAATACTCTAAAAAGCCAACGCAAAAACAATATCAAGGCCTTTCAAACAAGTCGCTTAGTTACAAACCATGTTTAAATTGAGTGGATGAATGTAGGATATGTGAATAGTTTCAAAATAACATGACCGCAAAGTAGCTTAGTCTCTACATGTTGTTCCGTTTGTAGAATTTACAAAATCGATTGCCCTCCAGGACATTCTACTGGCTGAGATTGTCTCAAATTCAATTACATCTCATGCCACAAAAAGCAATATTTCTAAAAATATTTAGCCCAAAAAAGTTCTGTTGCAGATGCAACAAATTAGCTGTTGAGAGTGGAAAGCATGCCGCCAGATGCAGTTGGAATCACCACCTCCCACCCAGGCCCTTTGAGGGGAAAGGTACTAACTGGAGGTTTAACATCAGCTGAGCTATTGACAACAAGGTCACTGCGATCCAACAGATTCTCCAGGTCTTCATCACTAATATCTGTCTGTATCATTTTGTCCTCAACTGTTTCATCATCTCGAAGCAATGCCAAAATATCCTCTTCCTAATAACAAATAAGAGACAAACTCCTCGTTTAAAACATGGTAAAAAATGTAACTATAAAAATGTTAGTGCAAGACAACAGATTGCCAGTAAAAAATGTAACTATAAAAATGTTAGTGCAAGAGGTATGGACTGTCAGTAAAAAATGTAACTATAAAAATGTTAGTGCAAGACTATGGACTGCCCGCTTCATAGTTCCAGTAAAATCTTGGAGCTGGGCTGATCCATTTTAAATAAATAAAGACACAATACTATTTTGAAAATTTACAATACAACTAATCCTCCACAAAATTTTAGCAAATTGTAGTATAAGATTAAGTATAAGCTTGAATGAGACAAATTGATAATTACAAGGATTGCTTGCTCATCTAGTTAGGCCAATTCAACAGATTAGAAGAAAAAAATCTAGTCAAGTTCAAAAATTACCAAAACCACACTTTCAACATCCAAGAGAAATCAATTTATACAAAACAAATAGGAAGAGAAAATATCAATTACAAACTACTGCTAACATACAAACCTCCATTTCATCCATAATGGAAGGTGTTGTGCGTTCTTGATGAAACTGTCCTTTCTCTATCACCACGTGCTCAAGCTTCAACTTGCTGAAAGCTCTTTTCAACATTCGACCCTGTAAAAGGACTATGTCATGCTCAACTCAAAATTACAAGCCACCTGTTACATGCCATACAAATATAATACACTGCCAAATACCTCAACGGACTGTGCAGTTGCAAGCCTGTAAACGTGAACAGGCTTTGATTGACCAATTCTATGACATCGATCCATGGCCTGCAAATCCATTTGAGGATTCTGGAGTACAGCAAAATCGGTACAACAAAGTCATAAGCAGATTGCAAGTCAAATACTGTAAAGCAATAAGATAAATGTCAAACAGGAAAAAAGTCAAAAAGTACCCAGTCACTGTCATAAAGAATGCAAGTGTCAGCCGCGGTAAGGTTTATTCCCAATCCACCAGCCCTAGTAGAAAGAAGAAAGATTCTGAAATTGCTGTTAATATCGTTGAATTCCTGGATCTGCTCGTTGGCCAACAAAACAAACATAAATTTAGCCTTTTCAATCATTGACAGATGATTAAGATCAGAGTTCCCAAAGAGAACAGGTGATAATAACAGAGAAGTGTTGCAACACAAACCCATGATTTAAACAAAAACATAGATTTTAAAACCATGTGGATTTTAAAACCATGTGTCCACATATAGTATGCTACATATGATAAGAGAATTCACCATTGATGCACCACGGTTTTAATAGAATAATTTAATGCATAAAGGATGAACACAACAAGAACACATAGCTTTAATTAAGATATTATTGATTGCGAATTACAATGAAAATATCTCAACTTTTAGGTGATGTAGAAGCTTTGAAAAATTTAATGCATAAAGGAATTCGCCACTAATGCACCACAGTTTTAATAGAATAATTTAATGCAAAAAGGATGAACACAGCAAGAACACATAGCTTTAATTAAGATATTATTGATTGCAAAATTAAGATATTATTGATTGCAAATTACAATGAAAATATCTTAACTTTTAGGTGATGTAGAAGCTTTGAAAAATGTGCTTTAAGATATAGCATTTTGTCAAGCAACTTTTAAACATCCTTAGATGGGAATTTTTCAAGATTAATCTTCAACATGTAGCTGTACACAGCTGTGAACATTTTTAATAACACCATTCTTAATTTTCTTTTTTAAAAAGTACAAGTAAACATTCCCTTAAGTTATCATTTATGACAGTACACATAATATTGAAGATCATGATGAGTGATCGGGCATTATTAATTTCATATTCAAGAGAATCAAAACACAACAAAACATAATAACAAAAGTAATTCAAGTTATCTGATTAAAAAGGGTGTTTACAACCATTTGTACAGACCTGACGTTTCCTTTCATCCAGTTTCACTGAACCATCAATCCTGCAAACTTCAAAACCCTTCTCACTAAAATAATAATCCATTATATCTAGCACTTTAGTCCATTGACTGAAGATCAGAACCTGATTGCAATAACCAAAGACAGGTGTGCATGAGTAGCAGTTTGACAAATACCAAAATGAAACGAAAAGCACAATACATGTAAAGCATACTTTGTGATTCCGTGCAAATAGCCGCTCCAACAACCGGTTGAGTAATTGGAATTTTCCGCATTGCTCGATTATCTCATTCAGAGGAGGATAAAAATCTATCACAAAAGTAAAATGCAGCTTATTATTAGTATTGCTCATCCTAAGATTAGCTAAACCATCCAACCATGTGGTAACTTACATGAACCATCATAGGGTGACTCTAAGATGTCAGGATGGTTGCAGACTTTCCTAAGTTGAATCATCAAGTTATTAAGACTCGCCGCAGCACGCCCTGCATTAAATCAAATTAATAGAGTACAGTACATAATACAGTTTCTTAGACACAAATCCGCTGATGGTGAGGGTGGGTGAGTTGAAAGAGAACTTTCCCTTTCACTCAAATGAAAATTGCAAAATAAAATTACCAATTGATAGTTTCCTGTTTAAATGTTTCTCGAATGTCTCGTTAATTAGATGATCCTGCAAGCTCTTCTGATGCTCAGTCATGTTAGCATAAATGATTATTTCTTTTTTCCGTGGCAACGATAGCTCAACATCAGACTTCATTCTACGCAAAAGAAATGGCCTGAGAATTGCATGAAGCTTGGCCACTACCTGCATGAAACACAGCCCTTTAGCCTTCTAATTTATATGAAGAATGGGCAACTAGCATAACATCAATTATCAATAATAGAACATATGCCTGGTTTCTTCTTTTCTCTTCCAATTCTTCCATTGTAGCTCCAGTAGCACACTTTCCTGACAGATTAAACCTACAAAGAAATTTGAATGAATAAAGTAAACAAATATAAAGGCATGCATGGTATGTCCTCTTGCATTAAACCAAGAACAATATTGCCAAAAGGCATACAAACTGTTAGAAGAATATAACCTTCAATAGGGACAAACATTGAGCTTTGTAGAAAAACACATTACATAACAGGCAAGGTTGTCAAGACCGAGAATGAGTAATATCAATTGGCAAGATCATGAAATGCAAGATTGCAACTACAATACTTAGATTCTACCCAAATATTTACACATGATTGGGAGAGGGAGCAAGATTGCAAAACATATGATCATAACCAGAATCATAAGATACTGCCAAAAGAAAATATTAAGTGTAGATGTGTGTATAGTGCATAAATTCACAACTCCTAATTAATTAAAAAGCACAAACAAAACATAAGACTTTCACAGGTGTAAAAGTAGAACAATATATCCTGTTCATAGTAAAATAATATCTAGTAAAATAATTATTCATAGTTTAATAAAAGAAATTACTCATAGTTTAATAAAATAAGAAACTATTCATAGTAAAATAATATCTTGTTCAGATTCATTAATTTAATAAATAATATATATGGTTAATATAGTTAAGGAACTAGTTAAAGATATGATTTAATATAATTAGACAATAAAGAATATTTTATACATTTGATATATGGTTAAGAACTCAGCACAAAACACTAAGAATGTAAAACAAAACAGTCAAAAAAGTAGAAAACAATAAAATTAAAAACTAAAAAATAGACGCATAATGATTTAGTAGGTTAGGTTCCAGACCCGGATTCAGGAACAAAAATGGCCAAGATCGCAAAAATCATGTGACAACACAATCTAAGATGCAATTTTACTACAATTATTCCGGGAATACATTCTTGGGTACAATCCAGATTGCTGAGGTCCAGTGAGATACTGAAATCATACCATCTTACTGTTTAAATCACAATTTAGACAAACCTTGGGTACAAGCAACCACCAGATTTGAAAGAAACAGACCCTGCATTTGAAGAATTTATACAATGGGGGAGGGAAGCCACAGATTCAATTGAAAAGGGCATCAAAGCTGAAGGAAGACATGTTTGATAATCTTTGGAAAATTATGTTTCATGGCATGGTTAGCTAAATTATAAAAAAATGTTGAACTGGTCAGTGTAAATTGAAAAGCTGTGGTAATGAGTCAAATTGCTTCACTTTTATATGATAATTACATTGATTCAGATCAGAATATAATAAAGCACTACTTTGTCCTCGATGTTGTTTTCCTTATAGTACAATCCAGGAAATTATATTTCCAACAGTAACATGTCGCCATATGACAGTGGGAATTAAAAAAAGTGTGATCAATAACCAATAGGAAAAGAACACTAACCATGACTCAAATTCTTCAAGAGACGAGAATATATCAGGTAAGATGAAGTTCAGCAATGACCACAGCTCTGCCAAATTATTCTGGAGCGGTGTCCCAGTCAATAGAAGCTTATTTTCAACACTGATGTATTTCAACATCCTCACTAATTTGCATTGTGAGTTTTTGAGCCTGTGCCCCTGAGGATATCACTGATGTTGAGTAAACACATACAACAAAACATAGAAGGTTTTATGCATGCAAATGAAAGAAGGTGTACCTCATCAACAACAAGATATTTCCATGTGTATGCCCGGAAAATTTTCTTAGCATCATTCATTGCAATCTCATAAGAAGTTATTACTATGGGAAATTTTGGACCAATTGTTCTAGGCATATGTTTCCTTCTGATTTCATCTCTCTGATTTCTGTCCCCATGGTAGATAACAGCAGGGAGTGATGGTGTAAACCTATTCAGATTCATTCAAGAAATGGTTATCACAATGAAGAAGCACAGTATATATAAGAAACAGTAACAATATGTATCAAATCTACCTAGAAATCTCATTCATCCAATTGGAGAGGGTTGATAGAGGAGCAATAATCATATATGGTCCATCCAACCCTTTTGATTTAAGATGAGAAATAAGCCCAATAGTTTGGATTGTCTTCCCAAGACCCATTTGATCAGCAAGAATCCCATTCAGTCCATTTTGCCACAAGGAGATTAACCACTTCACACCCTTCAGTTGATAAGACTTCAATTTCCCACCCGTTAGTAAAGGCACCAGCTCCCTTTGCTCTTTCTCAGTTCTCTCTTCCTCAGTCAAATCCACATCTTCAGTCTTCACAGTTTCTTTAGATCTTGATATCATGGCTTCAACTGCCTTTTTGGCTTTCCCCTAAAGTAATTTCAAACATTATCACAAACTACCGATTAGAACACTGAAACTACATGCAAGCATTTAAAAATCACAAGAGTTCAGGAAAATACATATAAGTCCAAGCTTAAAATCATATCAAATTACCATTTTCCATTAATAGTAAACAAAAATTAATCTTTACTACAATGTTATTGTTTTGCAACACCTATACAAAATTAGGTATACACACAGCAATGTACTCACAGTATTGCATTGTTTAGGCGCCTTTCTCTTTCTTCCACGGCCCTTAGGTTTAGTATCCATTTGACTCTCTTCCTCTTCCTTAATCACTTCTTCACCCGCAGTCTAGCATTACAAATTCAAACAATCAAAACAAACAATACAACAAAACCAACAAGTTAACACTCAGGGACATTGAAAAGGGAATACCAGTGTGATGTCATCCATTTTCTCCAAAAGAAACTCCGAGTAGAGTTTCGTTTGTGTCAAAAGCTCATCCAACTTGTCAAACTGCGAGTCATTAAGAGCCTGCGCCTCTTGTAACTGTTCCTCCTCTTCCTTAGCACGAGCTTTAAGCAAGTTCTCTTCTTCCTCCGCCATCGATTTCGGTACAAGAGAAGATCCATCATCAGCAACCACCTCTTCCTCCAACTTCATCTCCATTTCCTTCTCACACACAACATTGCCATTTCACAAAATCAAAAACACGGCAAAAAATAACAAAAATAACAAAAATCAAACGAATCGAACAAGAAATACACTCTCGCTACTAAAAATCAAACCAAAACACAAATACCTCTTCCTCTAGGACCGAAGTAGGTGACTCTACTGCAGGATCATCGTTCTTCACTTTGTTATTCGCCGCCATTTCAAACCCTAGAAAGCAAAATCACAAGTCACAAACAAAAATAAAATAAAAATAGCAGATAAATAAAAAAGAGAGAAACAGAATCAACATGGCTAGGGTTTCAGAAACTTGTAAAAGAACTTACCGAGAAGAGAAATGAGATTTTTGAAGAGAGGGTTCAGAGAAGATGAAAGGAGCGCGAAAAAAATGAGGAGTGTCGAAGTTGTGAGTGAGTGGAACAATATATTGAAAGGAGTGAAGAATTTTATATTTTTTTATTTATTTTTAGTTTGATTTATTGGTGGGGTAGGGTGGGTGGGCGGGAAAATGGAACTAAGTTTTGCCCTTAGTTTTTTATTTATTTACGGTTAAAACCTCAGTGTTGATGTGAGTTTTAATATTTAAGTGGGGTTATTTGTTGAAATTGAGTCGTAGGGGTTGTGTTTGCCAGCAGTATCGGCTCCAAGATTTTATGACGGGAAGTGTCTGTCCGTATATCAAGCACCGGTTGCTAATTCCACTTTTTTTGCCACTCCTCTCCTCTATTTTGTAAAATTTTAGAGAAGATAATTGTAATTGAATTTTTTAAATTAAGTCTTTTTAGTTTTAAAAATATTAATTATTGTTAAAATGTAATCCAATGTGTCGAAATTATATGTCGAAAAGATTTGATTTGTTTTAGATTTAAATAAATTTGATTTAAGTTTAGAATAAATTAGATTTGATTTAGTAACAAAAATATATTTTGGGCTTTGGACTTAAGGTGTAAGCTCATTTATAAATAGAGGAAGTAACCCCTATTTTTGTAAGCAAGTCATTCACAGTATTTTGCAGTTGCAAATTGAATAAGAAAGTTTTCACAGTTTGTGAGCAGAGAGAAACTCTGCAGAAATTATTTGTCTTGTCTTCTTTTCTTTGTTTGTCTGCAGAAATTATTTGTCTTGTCTTCTTTTCTTTGTTTGTCTCATAATTAAATTGTCATTGTGGTAGAAATTCATCATAGACTTTGGTGGATTTCCAACATCTGGTATCAAGAGTTTTGTTTCGATTCAAGGGAAGTGTCAATCAAGAACGATTGAAGAATTCACGATGACAAATTATGGGAATGCAAACTATCCAACAACACTACCAATTCTGAAAGTTGACAACTATGAGAATTGGTGCAAACATATGAAAGTCTTATTCAGGTGTCAAGGTCTTTGAGACCTTGTAAAAGATGGAGTCGAAGCGCTTGGAGAAAATGCTTCAGAAGAAGAAAAGAAGAAATACATAGAATCTGAGAAGTTGAGTTATAAAGCATTATTTATAATTCATCAATGTGTCAGCCCAGGCAATTTCGAAAAGGTTAGTGATTCAGAATCTACAAAAGAAGTTTGGGAGATCCTTGAGAAGTCTTTTGGAGGCGCTGAGAAAGTGAAAAAAGTAAGGTTACAAACTCACAAAAGGACCTACGAACTGCTTTAGATGGAAGATAGTGAAAACATATCTGATTTCTTCACTAGAGTTACAAAACTAGTAAATCAAATCAAGATATGTGGAGAAGCGTTAACAACAAGAGTTGTTGTGTCGAAGATCTTGAGATCTTTAGCTCCTAAGTTCGACCACATAGTGGTGGCGATAGAAGAGGGGAAAGACTTGTTGAAATTGACAAAGGAAGAGTTTCAATGTACGCTTGAATCTCATGAACAAAGAATGAACGAAAGAGCTGCAGGAAAATCGAAGAGTGATGTGGCCTTGCAGGCACATTCAGTAAAAGAGACCAAAGGCAAAGGAAAGTGTTTCGACAGAGGTATAGGTGGCTACAACAAATCGAATGGTAGAGGAAACCAAATCGAAGGAGACGTGTCGAATCAAAGAAGACCATACCAAGACAACCAAAGAGGTGGTGTTGCAAATAGAGGAAGAGGTGGTGGTCGAAAACCTGATAAGAGTCACATTTAATGTTACAATTGTCAGAAGTATGGATAATATGCGAGTGATTGTCCAGAAAAAATGAAAGAATCAAGAAAGTGATGCAAAGCTTGCAAAACATGAAGAAGAAGAAGAGATGATGTTGATGGTCACAACAAGAGATGAAGATAGATTCAAGGACCAATGGTACTTGGATTCAGGATGTTCATCACACATGTCTGGAAGGAAAGACTGGTTCGTCAATATAAAGCCCTCAATGAAAAATATAGTAAAATTTACAAATGACAATACCCTAGCAGCTGAAGGTATTGGTGATGTTATGATTATGAGGAAAGATGGCAAAAGGTTAGTAATCTCCAATGTGTTGTACATATAAGGCATGAAGAGCAATTTTCTCAGTATAGGGCAGTTGGTCGAAAAGAATTATAAAGTGTCAATCAAAGATAAAATGATGAGAGTCGTTGATGTAAATGGGAGATTAATCTTGAAGGCTTCTATGTCTCAGAATCGAACCTTCAAGATTGAACTAAATGTGATGGAGCACAAGCGCCTTTCGACTGCAGCTAGCAGAGATGAATGGATATGGCATTATAGATTAGGCCATTTCAACTTCAGAGACATCAGAGATTTAAAGAGAAGAAATATGGTTTCAGGATTGCCAGAAATTGACATTCCAAACGAGGTATGTGAGGAATGTGTGCAGGCGAAGCAACACAAGAATAACTTCAGCAAGGATGCAGGAAGCAAATCGAAGGCTAGTCTTGAAGTCATATACTCTGATGTATATGGACCAATCCAGGTGGATTCGATGGGAGGTAACAAATACTTTGTTACATTCATAGATGATTTCAGTCGAAAGTTGTGGACTTACCTGATCAAGAAGAAAAGTAAAGTGATCGAAGTATTTACCAAGTTTAAGTCTATGGTCGAAAGACAAAGTGGTCGAAAGCTCAAAGTTTTGAGAACTGATGGTGGTGGAGAATATGTGTCGAAAGACTTCGACAAATTATGTGAAAAGGAAGGGATTGTGCATGAGGTGGTGCCACCCTATTGTTTACCGTGGAAATTGGTAAACAACCGCTGATCCTCCAAAAGGTTACTTATTTGGTGACTCGCAGGATTGATCAGATTGATCCTAAGACATGGTTGATTTTTGGGGTTTTGACTAAGTTTAATGATGGTTAAATGACAAGAAAATAAAGACATTTTATGTAAATTGCATGAAGAAAACTTGACAGAATAAAAGAAAGCTTTAAATAAAGGCTTCGACTGGGAAAAGTAAATGAAAGGCAATAAAGTTCTGGAAAATAAATGACTTTGATTAATTTAACTGGTGTTTCACACATACATTCTCAACAATTCTTTCGCTCACACTGGGTACTTGAATCTAAATGAGTGACTTGTATATAATTGTGAACACACGCGAAAAACTACGTGAACAACTAATATTTATACTAAACACATCTCAAGTAACCGTCGGGCGGTTACGCTGCTTCGAGATGACTCCACTTGGCATGCTCACAGCATTCGACGCTCCTGATCTTGGCATGTTGCACTTGGTAACCGCTGGGAACCGTGTTCCCTCCAAACATTTGAATCTCAAACCGTTCCACTCTGAGCATCGAATACCTTTGTCGAGAAGCACCTTCGACGTCGAAGGCAACAAGATTCCTACTTAGAAGAAATTCTCTAAGTACCTTGCCATCTTCTGATGAGCATTTCGACAGAATCAGCTGGTCAAAACCATCCCTCGTGATTAATGGTTTATATTAATAAAAATAAGGGTGTCGAATTTAGGAGCCAACAAATTGCCCCCCAAGAATGCCTTATTTCGACGCTGAAAAGAAAAAGGCATTCTTTGAGATTCCACTCGACACCTGTCCTTCATTCTTAGCCACATATTAACCTGTGCACCTTTTGTCTTCTACCAACCAACTGACAATCCCAAGAAAAAGCCATCATTCCATTTGTACCTAAGACGTCACCTCAGTAAGGCGTTTAGCGTGCCCAATGTCTTTTCACAGATTGTCATCATGACAATTTCCCAAAAACGAGGGCGCACGCTGCACCGTTTCGTTTCTGCAGAACGACTATGTCATCGAAGGAGCGCCACGTGCCCCACTATCATCTGCAACATTAAATGGCCTCGAATTTTGTGATTTCCCAACCACTATAAATAGCATTAAGTATCCATTGTGGGACTTTTTCACGCCATTCTGCATCCAAACCTTATTGTTGAACAAAAACTTCTGCAAACCTGCAAACACTTTGTTCTTCACTCACCTTCAATCTTAACCCAAAAATGGCTTCAGGTTCCTCTAATGCTCCTAGTTCCAACATTCCTTCTAGAACTGCTAAACCAAAAATCTTCTCAACTGCTCCCACAGTTAACTATACAGGCATGCGAAGGGTTCCTGAACCCCTGGGAACTGCTGAGCGTGAAGCTTATTCTCATCAACTATTAATTCCGGTTGGATACTCCAACCAGATTTTCGCCATGTTTGGCCCGTTATCCACATGCATTGATGAATCTACGAAGATCAAGAACTTCTTCCCGGTGCTTGAGGCACTCAAACCTGTTGGGTGTTCCAAAAAGGCTGCAGATGACAATGAAGATCCTGCTAAGGAGAAGATAGATCTTCGCTTCTTCAATAGGGGTGTTAGGGCTTTTAGGTCTAGCCCTAGCCTTACACCAGACTACATCGCTTGGCTAGAGAAGATGGAAAAAAGTCAAGCTTCGATCTGGAAGAACCTTGGGATTTATGACCTAGTCATGCTGTCGAAGACTGGTCTCAACTACTCCCTTGAGATGCTGATAGCCTCTTTGCTTTTCTGGGATTATACTCATTTCACTTTCCACCTGCCTTGTGGAATGCTAACACCCACCCTTTTCGACGTGGCTGCCATCACCGGTCTTCGACCAACTGAGGATTATTTCGACCCAGAGGAAATGTCGGAAGACCAAATTGGGTTTTCAGCTACCAAACCCACCTATACCACCTATATCAACCATTACCATGATAGGTCGACAGCCAATGTGACGGATGTGGAGCACATTGCGTTTCTAGCCCTTTGGCTGTCACACTTTGTGTTCTGCACAAAGTCTCTTC